TCAGAGGTGTGTTCGTATGGGCGTTCATGGGGAAGCGGTTAAGGGAGAACTGGAGGACACCCATGGGTTCAACCGATTGGATGGTAGAGATTGGAATCTGTGCATACATAGCATATAGTATTAGGCAAAGACATAGTGCTAATAATAGGCTAGACATAGCATAGTGCTAATTTACTGCTTATGACGTGTTCTCTCATTGCCATTGCCCCTCCGATTGCCCCTTCTGTTTACCTCTTCTCTTCCGTGTCTTCCTCCCTCCCTTCTCTCCTGTCTATCCCCGTGTGCCCCAAGGCCGTCCATTCCGCGTCGCGACGGGCGTCAGACATTGGCCCTGCAGGGCCCACAACTACTAGTGCGGCTGGAACGCTAAGCGCACCTTAAAGCAGCACGCACTGGTGGACCACCGCTGTCGCCCCTCGCTGTGAGCGCCCTCAAGCAATTGCGGACTGCTGGTGCCCCGTGCCCAGTGCCCAGTGCCCAGTGCCAAATGCCAGTGCCCAGTGCCCAGTGCCCAGTGCCCAGTACCCAGTGCCCAGTGCCCAGTGCCCAGTGCCAAGTGCCAGTGCCCAGTGCCCAGTGCCCCAGTGCCCAGTGCCAAGTGCCCAGTGCCCAGTGCCCAGTGCCCAGTGCCCAGTGCCCAGTGCCACGTGCGTTCCCTGACCCCTCTGCACTGCTGCCATGTGCCTTTCTGACCCCCCACTACTGCTGGAGTGCAACGACCACAAGCAAGCGAGTCGCGCCAGTGGACCAACGCTCTCGCCCTGCCCGGCACGTGCTTCAAATTCATCCATGTCGGTGCTAGCGCTTCAGGCTTCAGACTGTCCCTCCCACATTCCCCTCCACCCTACTGAACCACTCCGCATCCCCTCCCATGCTGCTTTCTGCCTTCAACTACCCATCACCCCACACACTACCCACCGCCCGCCAGCTGTGCGGGTGGTTGCGAGTGTGCTTCCTGCGTGAGTTGTAGCCCTGCGGCCCATCGGAGAGCTCAGCCATGCATGCATGCATCCGGCTTCTCCCACTCTGCTCCCTCTGCGCCCCTCTCTCTGCCCACCCTTGCATCTCAAGACGCAATGCCAATTCGGTGACTGCTTCAGCTGTTGTGCCTCTCCCCGTGCCTCTCCCCTGTGCTGTCTGTCTGTCTGTCTCCCAGCTACTCCCTTACACCTGCAGCACACACATGCATGGAGAGAGCTGGACTAGAGGGTTATAATCGCTCCAACATTCTGATCTGTCTCCGTGCCTCCCCCATGCATCTCCCCATGCCTCTCCCCATGCCTCTCCCCATTCCTCTCTCTCCCCATGCCTCTCCCCATGCCTCTCTCCCCATGTCTCTTCCCATGCCTCTCTCCATGCCTCTCCCCATGTCTCTCTCCCCATGTCTCTCTCCCCATGTTTCTCCCCATGCCTCTCCCCATGCCTCTCCCCAAGCCTCTCCCCATGCTTCTTCCCATGCTCTCCCCATGCCTCTCCCCATGCCTCTCCGCATACCTCTCTCCCCATGCCTCTCCCCATGCCTCTCCCCATGCCTCTTCCCATGCCTTTCCCCATGCCTCTCTCCATGTCTCTCCCCATGCCTCTCCCCATGTCTCTCCCCATGCCTCTCTCCCCATATCTCTCCCCATGCCTCTCCCCATGTCTCTCCCCATGCCTCTCTCCCCATGTCTCTCCCCATGCCTTCCCCATGTCTCTCCCCATGCCTCTCTCCCGATGTCTCTCCCCATGCCTCTCTCCCCATGTCTCTCCCCACGCCTCTTCTCATGGCCTTCCTCTGCTTTGTCTCAGCTACTCCCTCACGCCTGCAGGGGTGCCTGCAGCATGCATGGGGAGTGCTGGACTAGGGGTCTTGTGATCTCTCTAATCTTCTGCTGCCGCTGTCCCCATGCCTCTTCTCCTGGCTCTCGTCTGCTGCCTCTCAGCTATTCCCTCACGCCAGCAGGGGTGGCTGCAGCGCACACATCCATGGAGCGAGCTGGACTGCAGGCAGGTGGGTATGGGAAGGGGTGAGTGCGTGCGTATGGGTCAGAGGAGGTGGCGCAAGTTTGGGGGGAGGTGAGTGCAAGGGCATGTGTGTGTGAAGGTTGGTGGAAGTGAGTGGAAGTGGGTTATGGTGCATGAGATTACCATGCACCATAGACTGGTAATATGCGTCACTGCATCATGCTCTTGCATTCCGGCTGCACCAAGATGACATCCTATTCTGGTGCATTTCACCATGCCATGCATGCCACGCACTCTCCACACCCCATGCACCCTCTTAACCAGCCGCTATGTGGAACAACAGCGCTTTTCTCCCTCCTCCCACCTGCATGCTACCCCCAATTTGTCGGTCCTCCTTTTAATTCTCAGAGGCATATTTCCTCCTCCCACTTGCGCGCTCCCTCCTGTCCGACTCTGACGTCCATTGCGTTCTCGCTATCTCGCTTTCAGAATTCGGTGCGCAGCCATCTGCTGCCCCACCTCCATCGGGCTCCCCACCACCTGCTACCCCCAAGCAGCCACACCAGTGACAGCTACCGCGGATCGGAAGGTGGTTTTCACTTGACCTCATTTTCGTATTGTTGTTTTCTTGCATTCCCTCATCCGCAGCGTGAACCTCCTCGTCCAATTTTTGTCTCCTCCGTTTTTTGGTAACAAGCATTGCTCGTGACGTGTCTGCTCATTCGTCGCACAGTTTGCCAGCCTATGTATGTGCCTCGTCTTGAATTTACTACTCCGTCACTCCCTAGGCCTTGCCTTATGCGACTTCAATCCCCTGTGCGCTGTGCCCCGTGCCACTTGTCTGCATGCATTGCATGCAGGCAACAGAGGCACAAGGCCATGGGTCAGACACAAGGAGCTGCAGGAGTGGGGGAAGGGCACGGGGAGTAAACGTGCAGCGTTGCGAGGGGGAGGGGGGAAGTGAAGGGATAGGAGGAGGAGGAGGAGAAGGAGGGATAAGAGGGGGAATAAGAGGAGGAGAGGGACCTCAGTGGAGCGGCAGGAGGAAGGAGCAGGGAGGAGTGGGAGAGGGAGAGAGCGGAAGCGGCAAGCAAGGAGTGCTGCTGATAGTGGCGCAACTGTAGCAGCTGTAGCAGCCCAAGACACAGGAGCACCAGTAGCATTGAATTTGCCAGCAGCGAGAAAAAGAATGGCAAAAACTCCAGCAGCAGCAGCAGCAGCAGCAGGAGGAGGAGGAGGAGCAGGAGAAGCAAGCACTCCATTCAGTAGGAGTGGGGCAGCATCAGAAGCAGAAGCAGGGGAGGGAGAGGCAGTTCTGGGAGGCAAAGCGTCGGCACTCATGGCATCGCTACATGCAGTGAATGGTGCGTGCATGGTGCATGCATGGTGCATGCATGGTGCGTGCATGGTGCGTGCATGGTGCATGCATGGTGCATGCATGGTGCGTGCATGGTGCGTGCATGGTGCATGCATGGTGCATGCATGGTGCATGCATGGTGCGTGCATGGTGCATGCATGGTGCATGCATGGTGCGTGCATGGTGCATGCATGGTGCATGCATGGTGCGTGCATGGTGCGTGCATGGTGCATGCATGGTGCGTGCATGGTGCATGCATGGTGCATGCATGGTGCGTGCATGGTGCGTGCATGGTGCATGCATGCGTGCTGAGAGTGGTGTGGTGGGTGCAAGGATGCAAGGATAGCAATCATAACATTGTGACGTCTCCACACCACCACCATACGGCAAGGATGGTACTTTGAGACAAGGCCAAGTGGGGACATCCTGGTAGCCGTTGCTCTCCCAACTCTATGCCTTCCAATGGAAGCCTCACCTTCCTTGCCGCTCCTCTCCCTCTGGCATTTCTCTCCCTCCGTTCATTCCTCTCCCTCCGTGCATTCCTCTCCCTCCGTGCATTCCTCTCCCTCCGTGCACTCCTCTCCCCCCGTGCATTCCTCTACCCACGTGCATTCCTCTACCTCCGTGCATTCCTCTCCCTCCGTGCCCCTCTCCTCTGTTTGGCAACATATTCCAGGCTGCTCCAGCGACCCCCCTACCTCCCTTGCATTGGCGCACCTGACATCCCCACCAACCTGCCTCTCCCTCTCGGAGACGGCTGACATTCGCCTGCCCCTGCTGGCCCAGGGGCAGCGGTTCAGCGATGCGTACCGAGTGGTGGTGCTGATCGAGAGCAGAGAGAAGGGGTGAGAAAGGACGGGATGTGACGGTTGACAGACGGGGCGAGGGAAGCCTGGTGGTCGACAGCAGCACTGTGAGGCGGACCGGGGGATGGGGCCCATAGACAGCTGGGAGAAGGTGTGAGAAGTGGGTGAGGAGGGTGAAAAGGAGGATTGGGTGTATAGAGAAGGGTTGAGCACTGAGAGGAGGTGTGAGGGCATCATGGTGGCGCGTACCGAGTGGTGGTGCTGGTCGAAAGCAGGGAGAAGGGAAGGGGGAGGGGTGGGTGAGGGCAGAATGGTCAGAGGCAACACTTGTGTCAAGCGCACCAAATGTTGGTGCTGATGGATAGCGGTGAGAAAGGGCGGGAGGAGGGATGAGGGAAGGGGTGAGGGAAGGGGTGAGGGAAGGGGTGAGGGAAGGGAGCATGAAAGGGAGTAGGGGTAAAGGGTCGAGGGTAGAAAGGAGTGGAGGAAAGAAAGGTGGAGCAAGGGAAGGGGGTCTGGTTATCGGGAGGAGGGGGGAAGGAAAAGGAGGAAGGTTGAGGAAAGCAAGAAATAGTGAGGAGAGAGGAAATCGAAGGGAGAGTGACCGGGTGCAGGGTCGCATGCTTTTCATGGTTGCTGGATATTGCAGGTGTCAATTTATACATATTATTTATATATAGATGTGTAGGCTTGGTAGGTTAGGTGTTCTATCAATTTTGGATCCTACTGTAGAGAGGACAACCCCCCTTCTTGTACCTCTCTCTCTTTCCTAGTTCTCTCTCTTGTACCTCTCTCTCTTTCTTAGCTAAAACCTCTTGACATTTCTTATGACTAGCTACTAGGCTCCTAAACTACATTCAACATGGTTTCAGTGTTAAGACAGGAAAGAATAATTAGAGGAAGGAGAACAGGGGAGATATAGCGTTTCGGTTGTACCCACTAAGAACATACCCTATCTAGCCTATAACTTCTACATAACAATATATGTATCAGTTGACACCCCCTAGGCTAGATAAGGGGTAGTGCTGAGCAAGAAACACGCAGCTCAGGGTGGCACTACTAGTCCAACCTCTGAGGCAGGGGCCAAAGACCAGTCAGCAAGGGTACAAGCAAGACAGAGCAAACCGGGCACATACTAGTCCGACCACTGGAAGAGAAGCCACAAGGCCAGTCTGAAAGGCATAAATATAGAAGGAGTACACAATCAAGGCCTAGCAAGTGAGAGTCAACAGGGACTAGACCTAACTGTAAGCAGGGCTGCTGATGATCTCTAGGCGGAAGCGCCTTAGTAAAGATATCAGCTGTGTTGGCACCCAAGGCCAAGTGTACACGCAGGCCTGGCGACGCTGATGAAGTTCGCGCAAGAGGAAGTACCGCATCTGGATGTGCTTCGCTCTGCACTCAAGTCGAGGCTCCTGACACAGGAGGATCATGGCCCTGTTGTCAGCGTCCAGAACCGGGGCAGACTAGGCCGCTCACCTAAGTCGGCAAGCAAGAAGGTCAGCCAGCGGAGCTCCTGAGCCGCCATGGCACCGGCGTAGATCTCAGCCTCGCAGCTAGACTGGGCAACAGACGAGGAGCGAGTGGACCTCCACGAGATGGCACCAGAACCAAGGCTGAAGCAGTAGCCCTGCGAGGACCTGAGGGTCTCAGCTCGTCTGCCCAAGAAGCGTCTGTGTGCCCAGTAAGGACCACTGGCCTGCGTCCTCCCAGCACTAGCCCCATGCCCGATGTACTAGCAAGATAACGCAAAACCCCTCTTAGCGGGCCGACCAGTGCTGTGGTCGGTGTCTGCCAGTGGCCACAAAGCGGGCCAGGATGCTGAGAGGGTATGCGAGATCTGGAGGAGTGCAAGTCATCAGGTACATGAGGAACCCACCAGCTCTGGTAAGGACCACTGGGCTCTGCTGACTCCTCAGGAACTGGAGCTGAGAGCCTGTGGTCTACCGGCAGAGGTGTGGCTGTGCGGAGGAGAACTGAGATCGAACCTCTGAAGAACCTGGCGCACCAAGTGTGACTGTGTGAGAGTGATGGTGCGCGCTGCTCTGTCCCTGGAGATCTGCAGGCCAAGGTAGCGGCGCAGCTCTCCCAGGTCAGTGCAGGTGTGTTTCCTCAGCAGCTCAGCCTTCACGGAGGCCAGTGCGTCTCTGTCTGCAGTAGCAAAGACCAGGTCGTCTACGTAGACAAGGATGTAGAACAGAGTCTGGCCAGCACGAACGAAGAGCGAAGGGTCAGCAGAGGACGGAAAGAAATGCAGGTCAGCTAGCGTAGCACGCAGCGTGTCGTGCCACTCACGGGGCGCCTGTCGCAGGCCATAGACCGGGCGTCGGAGGAGCCACTGGGTCCTAGGAGGGAAGGTACCAGTAAAGCCTGCAGTCGGCGCAGGAAGACCTGCTCGTGTAGGCTCCCTGAAGAAAAGCAGTGGAGAAGTCGAGGATGAGCTCGTAGTCACGCTGCGCTGCTACGTGTAGCAGCACCCGAAGAGTAGTCATCTTCGGGGTCGGGGCGAAGGTCTGAAAGAAGTCCACCCCTCTCGCTGACTGAAGCCTCTAGCCACGTAGCGCGCCTTGAACACATGGCGCTCTCCAGGGGGGTGCTTCACCTTGAAGAGCCAGCGGCCATCGACTACGTTCACCCCAGGTGGGGGAACTGCGTCGACGTAGGTGCCGGTAGGCCTCCAAGATGCCATCTCTGCTCCATGGCAGCTATCCACTGAGAGGCCCAGGGTCCCAGGTCGCCTCAGCATAGTGCGAGGGGTCGGGATGTCAAAGGCGTCTGGGGTCACCCTCAGGGACTAGCAGCATGGAACAAAGATGGGGAGCAACCTCGACAGGAAAGCAAGCTCGTACTGCCGGTCCTCCAAGACGTCACTACTAAGGGCAGGAGCACCCCCGACGGACGGAGGACAGACATGGTCAGAGACCAGAGCGGTAGCGAAGTCAAGGCAACGAGTAGAGGCAAAGTCAGCGACAGCAGCGACAGGAGCGTCAAGACTGGAGACAGGAACAGACGGGTCGGTAACGAGGGAGGCAAGGACCCGAGGAACAGGAGGACGAGTAGCACGAAAGGCAGTCAGAAAGAGGGGGAGGCGCGACAGTGAGCGACGACGGAGGAGGCGAAGGCAAACGGGGAGGACGACACGCGTGGGAACGAAACAACATAGGGTGAGAACACTGAACAGGAGAGACATGACGAGCACGAGAGGGACGGCGAGATCGACGTGAGACGGAGGCGTCGGGTCAGGAGACAGAGGAGGAGTAACAGGAGGGGAACGAGAGGGGAAACGATCCGGGGACGAGTCCGGCGGAGGAAACACAGGACCGTGAACAGGAAGAGGGGGAGACGGCGAGGGAGGCGCAAGCGAGTGGGCAGGGGAGGGAAGGCCGAGCAGGCGAAGGGCGGACACCGGCGGCGACTGCTGCTGCTGCTGCTCAACGCCGACACCTGGACCACCAGCTGCACCACCGCTACCTCCGGTACACTCTACGCCAGCACCCCCAGAACGAGAAGTGTCTCCAGCGCCAGTGCCACCCCTGAGCCCGCCGGGACAAGCCACAACAGGAGCCCCAGGACTAGCACCCTTTCCAACTCCAGCACCCCCAGAGTTCACGAACGGCTGCGGCTGCGGCGACAGGTGCGGCTGCGGCGGCGGTGACGGCGGCGGCTGCGGCGGCGACTGTGACGAGGGAGGAGGAGACATCTGGGAAGGGACAGGCAGCGCGAACTGCGCTGCGGTGCCACCGGAGTCAGCCAACTCCTCGACCGGGACAACCGACGGAAGGGGCGTGGCGTGAGACACTCCAGACAGAGAAGGACAGGGAGGGAGGGGGCAGGGGCTACCGGGGAGTGGGAACCAGAAACAGGGGTGGGGCAACTGGGAGACCTCGGTGAGGAAAGCGGTGGAAAAAGGAGATAGACTCGTCGAAAGTGACGTCACGGGAGTGAAGGAAGCAGTGAGACGGCAGGTGGTAGAAGTGCCAGTCAAACGAGTCAAGGGGGAAACCGAGGAAGACACGGTGGAGGGTGCATGCAGTGAGCTTGTCCATGCCGGAGGCACGAACATGAGCGAGGCAGCCCCACACGTGGAACGCAGACGCATCACCAGGGAACCCGGTCCAAAGAAGGGTCGGTGAAACCTGCGGCCGCTGAGAGCGAGGCCAGAGGTTAAGCTGGTGAGCGGTGTAGCGAACGGCGAACGGCCACTGAAAATGGGGTGCACCGGCATGGATCATGGAGGTACGAGCCACCTCCATGACCAAACCAATGCGTCGCTCAGCGATCCCATTCTGTTGCGGGGAGTCTGGTAGGTGTACGTCTGGGTGATACCCTGCGCACGACAGAATTGACCCAGCCGACCAGAGGCGAACTCGCCGCCACGGTTGGAGTGGAGACACAGCACAGGGAGACCGCGGTGGAGGCGCGCAGCAACGAGCCACGGGATAAGAACGTCAGGCACGTCGGCCTTCCGGTCCAGGGGAAACACCGTGGTGAAGCGTATGAAGTCGTCAACGAGCACACGAAAATAGCGCTCGTGACGCGGTCCAGGGACAGGGGTTGGGCCCCAGACGTCCAAGTGCAGGGTCTGAAGGGGTGCAGTGGCAGTGCGAAGTGAGGAGGAGTGAGGAGCATGGCGCAGCCGGCCCTCGACGCAGGGCGTGTACGGTGGCGCAGGCGAGGGAGGGAGAGTAGGGAGCGACGCAGGCAGGCCGAGGACTAGACCGTGCTGAGACATGTGACGCAGGCGGGGGAGCGCGGGTGACCTAGGTGGTGGTGCCACAACAGTGACGGGTGATTGAGCGACCGATACGAGCAGGCCGCAGCTACCTGGGTGGACACAGGACCGGAGGAGGACTCGCCCGCCGGGGGGGAGCAGTGTCCAGCGTATTCAGGCCAGTCACAGGGTGCCGGGGGAACGTCGCAAGGGGGGCACCTGAGGCGGTCTCGGTACAGATCGCGTACCGCTCATGACCAGGGAATATAGTGGTGACACTGAGGTCCTGAAGACAGCCGACACCAACTAAGTTCCTGGAGAACGAAGGGATGTGCAAGCCTATAAGGGAACCCGAGGGAACCGCCGGACAGGGAAGGTTAGTGTAGCTGCGAGCAACTACAGGACCAGAGGAGGGGTCCGCAAGGGTGACAGCGGCAGGTGCAGCAAGCGGCGTGAGGGCGGCGTGGTCGCAGAAGAAACAGGCTGACGCACCAGAGTCCAGAGTGAAGGACCGCAATGCTGTAGTGGCAG